AGTACTCATACATATGAAGATGAGGTTTAAATGATTTATCAGTTAGTACAACTGAGCAACATGTGAACACTACACATTCTAATATCACAAAGGTTGGTTTTATGAAATAAATTTTACTAAGCAATAAGCCATAAATGTAGAAAAATACATTTTACCTACAAACTCAATCAACAAGAAACAAAAGATTCATATATAGTGCATAATTACTTAGTGGTAACCACACAAGGGTTCCTACACTTTACAATAAGTGCTAGCATCAAACAACAGAAAAAGAAGCATTCACAAGTTTAAGAAGAGTGAATAAAAAATGGCAAACAGTACTTAAACAGTGCGAGAAGGTGGGAAAGAGGAGTCTTCAGAAAAACCACGGAAGAAAAGGGAGGCTCCTACCGAGCAGGGTTCAAAGGGGAGGATCCTGGCCATTTCACAACATGAGCAGCATGGACAGCACTGGAGAAAAACACATTGTACTTTGCATCCATTTCCAATACCCAGCGCCCAAAGTCAGGCAGGCAGGGGACCTATGGTGGGACTGGGCTTACCGCCAGCCCCCAGGCCTGGGGCTGCCTGCAGCCAGTCCCTCTCCAGGGTTCTCCCCCTACTGCCTTATGCTCTGGCTATTCCAATATTCCCACTTTGTTCCAATTGCCCTAACCTTGGGATACTGGGGTCCCTGGAAGTACAGAAAAGAGAGCTTCCTATTCAAGTCTCTCTTCTCTGTAAAGTCCCCCAACTCCTCCCCCAGGGAGTGGTATGAATTCTGGGGAGAAGCACAATTTAGATCCAGCTGTTGTTTTATCAGGAGAATTTCCTTGTGGGCTGAGAGTCTGAAGAGAGACAAACACATAAAAAGAGAGTCAAAGAAAGCAGAAGTATTGGCATTGCCACCCAGCAAGGGGTAGACAGAGCCTCAGTTGAGTTCAGCTGGGATTGAAGCAGCCTGTCCCAGAGACTCCCTGGGAAAGAAAGACCTTCAGCAATCCTCCCAAATCATTACCTCAAAGTCTCCCTGGAGCAGGGCATCACTGTTTATGTACAGTAGCAAATGGTCAGTATTAATATCTTCAGGCCTATCGTGGATAAAAATACTATCCTTTTAATTCCAGTTTACAAAAATAGGAGTAATATTCAAAACAATGATTGTCTATTTTTCTATTTATTTTATATAAAAACAAACAGCTCAGGCGAATCTTCAATCCTTGTGCACATTGTATGAACGGCTCTCTATTATACTTATATATATATACTCTTTATATATTTGTAATATATATGTCAATATCAATAATTGGTCCACAAAGTATATCTGTGCATTCTCTAGTGCTTCGTAAAAAGAAAAACATTATTATCAAAATATTCATTTAATGGCTTGACTTCATACATAAATACATGTGGGACAGAACACAGGAGCGATGACAGTTCGGTCAGTTAGGAAAAACGACTTCTCATTGGGTCAGGGCTGTATACACAGGATAGCTGGTAACTCGCCGCTACAAGTATGCTATTCGCCGTCCTTTGCTTTTAACCCTTTGTTTATACCTTTTCCCTAGGACAGCCGCCAAGTATTTCTTAACAGCCATTTGTTTCCGGTAGCGGCTGTAGCTGTCAGTGAAGATGCCGTCCGAGTGGCGCTTGGAGAGCGGTTCCGAGTCGTCGTCCGCGCCGCCGCCCGGGGTCCCACTGCAAGGAGAGGGGTCGGGAAGAGGGTGGCGGGACGGGAGACACCCGGTGAGTAGACGCGGGGTGAACAGGCAGACCCCACCCATCGAGGGAATCTTCGCAGGAGGGCGCGGGCTCTCCGCGCCCAGCGCGCCGCCCTGCCCCGCCAGGGAGCAGTCGCAGGGAGGGCGGCGATGAGAATCCTCGCTACTCCCTCCCCATCAAAGATCTCGGGGCACTAAGTCCTTATAGGATGGGCCTGGGAAGAGGTCCCGGGCCAAACGCAAGCGATTTAAGCCTAACCCTTCTCCAAACGCTGCCCTCTCAGATCTGACCATCAGTGCTCTTGCGCTCAATTGTCCTAACCGTTCCCGGACGCCCCCACCCCCGCAGAGAGAAAAGCACCAAAGAGCCCTGAATTTCCCGTTGGCTGTTGCCGTGGAGTTTACATCGATCCCGCAATTCCTATTCAGAGGGGAGCACTGCTCTCCTACGCGCTAAGTTGAAAAACGTGATAATAATACAAGTCGACAGGCTGCAGGCAATACTTTTCATGACATGAATTATTCAGTGCGGAAAACGTATTCTGGTGTCCCATGGGCTCTATTAAAACGTTGCCTTCTGGTGAGAGAAGCTCCCGCAAATCCTGTGCTTTGGGTTTGTCTGGCACGAGCAAAAACTGTTTGCTTCCTTAAGTGTCCAAATGTGAGGATTTGTTTGTTTCGATTTGAATTTAACAGCGAAAGAAATGTGAGAAAAGAAAACGTCAATCGTCCCAAGAAGGTTTTGATGGCCTGGAGAGGATGACCTCTTCTTTTTTTTTTTTTTTTTTTTTAATTATTCAAAACGGATCAGACTTCCCGGTTTTCCTGCCCGCTTCCCTCCTCGCCTCATTCCCGAGCTCTCTGGCCAAACTTCTGGCGCGGTCCGTAAACCTTAGCCTGTGGCAGGGGGCTGGCCCTGTAGACCCTGCGGCGCAGACGCACCCTCGGCCCCACGTGCACGCAAGGACGTAGAAGCAGCCCCGCCCTCCCAGCGCGCGCGGCACACCCACCCACCGCGGCGCGTGCGCGCGCGCCATCACGCGCAGGTTAACTCTTTCGCAAACTCTTACCCCAAGCCCTTGGCCATGAGCGTCTGCAGGTATCTCCTGGCGGACAGCTGGTCCAGCACTTTGCGGTAGGCCTTATTAAGGATCCCGTGGGCGACATCTCTAACAGGGAGGCAAAGTGCGCGCCCGGGGGTCACTGACTCAGTGCCCAAGTGGCAGCCCCAGGTCCCCCGCTAGTCACCCGGCGCTCTGGAAGGCACTAGGGAATAACTCTTGGGATGTTCCCGTGAGTGCCAGGAACCAGAGTTCGTCCTGCCCTCCCTGGACCTCAGGTGTGAAGCCCGGCCGGGGCGCGCACTCACTGCCGCTCCTTGGGCCGCAGACCTTTTGGTCCCCATGCGGCCCTCCTGTCCACACGAACCGGCCCGCTTCTAACTTTCTCTCACTCTCGTGGGGACCAGCCCGGGAGAAGAGAGACTGAAGGGCTTTTATGAAAAAGCATCTACTCGATGGGCCATCCCCTGCCCCTTTCTCCCTCCCAGTGCCCGGCTGCGCGGCGGTACCTTTCCTCCGCGGGGTAGTAGAGCGCGTAGGCGTCGCGCAGCGCGGAGGCAGGGCTTCCCACGCCCGGCGGCTCCGAGTCGTAGACGTCCTGCTGCGGGTTTCCGTCCTCGTCGTACACCTCGTCCTCCGGCCTGCAGGGGTAGCCAGGGGGGCAGAAGGAGTGGTCCCTAGGGTCCTTCCCCGCCTCTGCGAGGACCCAAAGACCCATAGGGGCTCTCACGATGTTCCTTCTTCCAAAAGGCGCCCCTCGGAGAACTGTCTCTTCTAGGACGGGCGTAGGAGGAGGAAACGACACCCAACAGAAATTCCCACCCTCCTCTAGGGGGCGAAGGGTCGCCTTGCGGGGGCCACGACCTCAACGGGCACTGGGAAGCCCAGACGTCTCCGCCAACCTCGGCACACCGGGCCGCCGGGGAGGACCGCTCCTACCCCCGGCCTGGCGCTAGAGCCTCCCACACAAGCAGCGACGGGCAGAGACGGGAAAGGCCCTGGGAGAGAATCGCCGGCCAACCAAGGACTGGATGGGGAGAGGCCCGGAGCCAGAGGGGGTGGATGGCTGGGGAGTCCGGCGGCCAATGCCGGCAACCACCCCCACCCAGCCTCCGAGCCCAGGGGAGCCCTTCCCTGCGCAGATGTAGGTCACGGAGAACCTCCGGCTTCTATTTCGGGAGGGAGAGGATCTGGCGAGAACATGAATAATAGATGCCCCTAAACTTAGCCTGTTTGGCAACGGCTCATTCCGTGGCGTGCACGCGCCCTCCGGTGCGTCTGCCCGGAGAAACTACCAGGCACACGAGACTTTGAAAATAGCTCGGGGTGAAACCGGGCTTTTAAGTCCACTAAGTCGATAGTTAGCGCTCATCAGTTAGTGGTGGCCGGGCGGCGGGACGACGTCTCAACCCCGAGGGAAAGGGAAAGGGTCAATAGGGCACCAAAAGCCAAAGATCTCCCAGTCGCCCTTGCCCACCGCCTCAATCCCTGATAGAGGACGGGAGAGGTGGGTGAATAAACAAACCCCCTCGCTTTCGGCCGCTGGAGAGACTCGCAAAGCAACTCAGGCAAGTAGCGCTCTTTAGGAGGATCGGTCATATTCGTTCCTCCCCTCGCCTTTCCTCCATCCCTTGGAGAGGTAGGGGCAAGGCACGCACAGCAGCGGGCCCGCCCCACACCCAGCCTTTCCTCGGCGATGCTCCTCTCTGCCCTTGCCCCGCTGCCCGGAGTCTCCAGGTCTTTCTGGGCACCTGCACCCCTACTCCGTGCCGAGATGCTGAATTCTAATACTGAAGCCAGAACCCATCTCTCCGGCCAAATCAGTGGCCAGCGACCTCTGAGGACATCTCTCTCGGTAGCGGCTCAGAGGAGCAGCTTTGCGCGGGCAGAACGCGCGCTCCTCGCCTCCCGGAGCCGGGTGCGCGGCGGAGCGCGGATGCTGCGCCGCGCTGCGAGCTTCCACTCGCCCACTGACAGGCCCGGGACTCTGGGGCTGCGGCCGAGAACCCAGGCAGCACCGACCGATTAGAAACCAGGAATTAAGGGGGTCACCCGGGACCCCGGGGCTGCGGTGGGCTGGGGGAGGGGCGCCGAGCCCGGGAGGAGTCCGGCCCAGATCCCCCAAGTGACCGGCGACCGGACCCAGGCTGCTGGCGGCGCAGTGGGGGCGCATGGGGAGACGGCGGTAGCCGGACCGAGGAACTGCAGGAGGGCGACCGCGAGGAGGTGTCGGGGGGACGACAAGTCCCAGCCTCCGCTCCGCTCCGGCGGGCAGCACCTACCTGATCCCCGGGAACCGGAGTCCGGCGGCGGCAGGTGAGCCGTAGACGCTGCTGTGCATCAGGATCCCGTAAACGAGCAGGGCCAGCCTCGCTCCGCTACACATGGCCATTCTGCGCAGGACGGGAAAAAAATCACGCAGCAGTCCCAACGCCCCTGGCCTTCCACCACCCCCACCCCCACCCCCGACCCCCTAGAAACTCCTCGAACTGGGGGAGGCCTAGAGCTCTGCTCCGACTCCCAGGGTTGAATCCGGCTTAATGATAGCCGGCTGGCCCCACCACTTCCTTCTCGATATAGTTAGAAAATACGCCTATATGTATACAGTGCCCTGTAACTCGCCAGAGCTGGCGCCAGAAAAGCTAACCCGTACCCCGATGCCAGCAAAATAATTAGCAATCAGGTGAGTTGTTTGGTGAGATTTTTTCCCTCCTTGCCATCCAACTCTTACCGCTGCCAGGAGAGGGTTTGCTGCCAAGTAGGACGGCGGGCAAAGGGCTTCTCCAAGTTTGTGCGCTGCAGTCACAACCCAAGAGGCATCGCCGTCTGGCGTTAGCGTCTGAGCAGAAGCCGCAGGAACGAGCCGGAGCCGCGGGAGGAGCTGGAGGACTTGTTTGCGGAGTCCTGTTATTCTGTTCAAAAGTTTGCCGACGCTCGGAATTAGGACGGAGCGTGACACCGAGAGAAGGGGGGCGAGGGGAGAGATGGAGAAGGAAGAGGGAGGAGGCGAGGAGTTGAGTGGGGGTGGGAGACAAAGTGGCCTGAAGTCCACCGAGAAGAAAGAAGTGATAAGGAAAGAAGGAAAGAGAGCGAGAAAGAGAGAGGGCCTCGGCGAAGTCGGCGTATGGGGCAGCCGCCCGGCCAGGGAGCTTGAGCAGGCAGCGCCTTCGCTGCTCAGAAGTATCTCTGGCTGCGTCTGAAGCTGCGGTTTCTTCTACTGCTGCCGGTGGTTATTACAGAGGTGACCAGCCCTCTGCTCCTATTTATCTGGGCAGTTAGCAGAAATCTATGTGAACGTGGTTTCAGAAGAGACTTCCTTGTCAACATCTGTCTTCCTGTTGGCCTTTTAAGTACAGAATATTTTGTTGCACTGTTGCGCTCCGATTTTTATACGTGGAATGACTTCCTTTTTTTTTTTTTTTTCAGTCACGTAATGATCGGGTATCAGAAAAAGACGTCAGCATCCTAGTCCCTCAAGGAACATATTAACTATCCCCTGCTGTCCTCTTGGATGAGATCCGGAGTCATCGACTTCTCATAAACACCTTTCACTCATACTGTACAATTTTAAAGGAATTTAATTACCTTGATGGTTTTCAGTTTTGCCCACTTCTGAAGGATGGGTAAAGAATTCATAGAATCTTGAGAATGGTTGGTTTTTTTTTTTTTTAATGTTTTTAACTATGTCTCTCTTGTTTTCTTTTTGCTTTTTCATCAAGCCCCAGCAATCAGAGCTCTGGGCTCTGGAATTAAAGCACCATCAAGCTCTCCTATTAATAAATTTAATTTAGATCTCCTAATTTCTTGCCTATGTTCTTTTAGATAGACAATTAAATGTGGGAGTCGTTTTGTTTCTAAAGGGAAGTCTTGGAGGATTTTCAGTAAATCGCTAATGAGTCTGGCTGTGGTTGACAGTCTGGCTCTGAGTGGAATTGATTAGTTATAGATTAGAAGAAAGAGTCTTAAACGGGGCCTACGGCGCTGTCCCGGCTCGGAGTGCTGAACTATTTGGTTGCAGATGCTGCAAGCGTTGAAAATTGCTACTAGTTTAATTTTTCACCAGAGCCTCTAAATCGGAAGATTTGGTAGTGGCACCCTTATAATGTGGCAATTCATTGTCCAAATACCCCCCACTGTTCAGATATGTCCCTCCCTTGCAGTGTCCACGAATGCCCTTAATGGTGACAACTGTCTGACCCCTGCCTTTACTGTGGGAGGAAAGAGCATTCAATGTCTGCCCTTTAGTTCTGGTTTGGGGATCTCTACATAGCCTATTTGGACACCTTCACACATTCTGTGGCTCTTACTAATGTTAACAATGAAATGGTGAAATTGTATTTTACAGAAAAGCTGAAATTTTAAGAATTCAGAAGTGAGAAATATGTTTCCCCATTTATTTACAACTTGACTTCTGTGTGAGGAAAGGCAGACAGACTGGAGAAGCATGATGATACCCAGGACAAGTTCACTCCCTGAGGGTTTCCAACAGGAATCCCTTCCATGGGGGTGGCTTAAAATGTTTCACTGAAAATGAGGTGGAAAGAGGAAAGCCCAAAGGGAACACCACATCCACCCAGAGGCTTCCAAGGCCTGGAGTTATTTAAGAAGATCCGTAAATTTCTACTCCAGTAAGAGAACTCAGGTCTATTTCTTTTAAAAGGGAAGCAGAGCCATCGATAACCATTAGTGTGCATTTTAATTATTTGGATCTTAAACAAAAATTAGAGGAAATGGCAATTTCGTGGGAGTGCTTCCTGTTACTATGATTTAGATCTAACATTTAAACAAGCTATATTAGTTCTGCATGCTTCTTCTAAGACAAAATTATAATGCTTCTTATTCTCAATGCCTTTCCTGCTTATTGGAGATTTAGTATTTTCTCCAAGATGACAAACTGTAGATTGCTTCGTTCTCGCCACGAATGGCCAGAAACTGTCACTTCTTCTTAGTTTATTCCTGGGAATACTCAGATTGCCCATTTGCAGTAAAGATTAAAACCACGTCTACACGGGAATGGATCGCTTTTTCTCCACCTCCTGTGTTCACGGATCTGGGCTGCAGTGTTTACATGCGTGTTCTCCGTGTCCACCTCTGCTTCTGGGTAAGCTCGCACACGAAGAGCCAGCGGTGAAGACACGACCAGATAATCCAGAGGAGATAATCCAGCTCTCTCACTAAAGCGCCCGCAGCTAATACCGACTGTGGCTTTCCTGTCTTCCGCCTCGCTTCACGTCAAAGGTGAACCCGATTAAAATCCTTCCTCTTCCCTCCCACGCGAATTCTGAAATGAGTTCAATCTGTAGAAATATCTGAAAATTTCCAAGACTTCTGGTACCGGTTCACGGCTCAACTTGAGTCAAGGGGGCCCCCGTGTGGGGAGTTTGTTGACTTCACGGCCTATTAAAGGGGGAAAACCGCAAACACCATTAACTTCGTGCGGAGGATGCCGGACCCCCTCCACCCATAAACACACACACAAGAACCCAACCTGCGCCTCTGGTTCACGAAGCCTGTGCCACTGGACTTTTCTCGGCGTGGATCCTGTGAGCGCAGACCTCAGGATCCCGCGCCCCAGGATTACCAGCTCCCAGGCCCGAACCCGTCCCCTCAAGTGAAAGACTAAGAAAATGTGACGTTCTTGGCCACTGAATTTCAAAAACAACAAAGCTTCCGAGACCCACGCACTGCTCAACACCATCCAAAGACCCGCCCAGCCCCGACCCACAGATGTCTGGGGCAATCGAACCCGGGATGACAGGGTCGTCCTGCAGAACTTTCCTCCCACTGAGCATCTTCAGTTAGGCGAGTTTTATGTCCCACGGGCAAAGATGTTATCGTGTTCTCGAAAGTTCCTGAGCCGCTGGGAGAGGAGATGCTGGGAAGGCTGAGGAAGAGAAGAATCTAGAACCTTTGGACCCGGCTTCAGTAATCCTTCCTCTTCCCTCCCACGCGAATTCTGAAATGAGTTCAATCTGTAGAAATATCTGAAAATTTCCAAGACTCCTGGTACCGGTTCACGGCTCAACTTGAGTCAAGGGGGCCCCCGTGTGGGGAGTTTGTTGACTTCACGGCCTATTAAAGGGGGAAACCGCAAACACCATTAACTTCGTGCGGAGGATGCCGGACCCCCTCCACCCATACACACACACACAAGAACCCGACCTGCGCCTCTGGTTCACGAAGCCTGTGCCACCGGACTGTTCTCGGCGTGGATCCTGTGAGGGCAGACCTCAGGATCCCGCGCCCCAGGATTACCAGCTCCCAGGCCCGAACCCGTCCCCTCAAGTGAAAGGCTAAGAAAATGTGACGTTCTTGGCCACTGAATTTCAAAAAAAACAAAGCTTCCGAGACCCACGCACTGCTCAACACCATCCAAAGACCCTCCCAGCCCCGACCCACAGATGTCTGGGGCAATCGAACCCGGGATGACAGGGTCATTCTGCAGAACTTTCCTCCCACTGAGCATCTCCAGTTAGGCGAGTTTTATGTCCCACGGGCAATTATCGTGTTCTCGAAAGTTCCTGAGCCGCTGGGAGAGGAGATGCTGGGAAGGCTGAGGAAGAGAAGAATCTAGAACCTTTGGACCCGGCTTCAGAACTTCATGGGTCTGGGGCTGCTCCGCTGCTTCGGCAGACCCTGGGCGCGAGCGCAGGCCCTTCCTGCTCCCTATTCGATGGAGAGGAATAGGGATAGGGGGCGACCGACGTCTCAAAGACCAAAACTACCCCCGGTGCCCGAGAGTGGCCGTTTGCTTGGAACCTCGGGAGTGGTCTAATTAGAACATCAATGCTGCTTTCGGCGGGGGTGGGGAGGGGACCTTGTGTGTAGGGGTTTGGGGATGCAGAGAAGAGTAAGCGCGCATCATGCCCAGGATGGAGAGACCCAGAGTCACCACGCGAGGTGACCGGGGGTCCCGGCCAGGGCCGCGCAGGAGACCGCGGCGGCAGACGTGGGCTCGTTTACTCACTGCATAAGCAAAGAAGAGAGAAACATCAGATCGCCCAAGTGTAACTGACAGGGACACAGGGAGAGGGGGAGGGTCCGAAGAGGGGACTCGAAGTCAGAACTTCCTGTTTATAAATAACGCAAAGCAACGTCGATCTTCTCTCCAATAGCCCCACCCCTTACCCTCAACGTTCACCAGACCAGGTAGAAGGATTCCCAGGCTGCTAAGTTTCTTTCCCGACTGTGGAAGCGAAGAATGGCCCGCAACTGGAATCATGTTCGATTAGAAGAACTGGTGGTACCGCGGAAATCTTCCACCTGAACAGTCTCACGGAGGTCTCTTGGAGAGTCAGAGGGCAGGCAGTTTCCGGCTAAGTCGGGACCTACCCAGTAGAAACTGGAAATATTTGTTGGAATGTATGTTGGTGTTTGATCAAAGACCTTGAATTTGAAATCCGTAATGTATCAACTCCTTGTGTCCCATTCATCCTTAGGATATGAAAGCATTCAAACTTCTGGTCTGAAATGGTGGATGCTAGATAGCTACAAGTCAGACTAACACTTCCCTAACTTGTTTTCCCTGGTCACAGACATATCTGTCTCCTCGAAGTGTCAAGCCTTGACTCCTTAAACAGCTCTCGATTTTAAAGAACACTTGGGCCCTTGAAAAAGTGTGGTTTGTATTCAAAAAGGAGGAATATGTCTAGTCTATGACAGAGTTTGAATTTGCACATGGCTTCATAGCATTGGTGAAAACAAGACTCATTTTCCTAGGATAAGACTTCCACTACTTTCCTTCTAGCCTAGCTACTCATCCTGCACAATTACCATGCGTTCATTTTTCCTTTCTTGGCTGTATACAGCTCTCCCCATTGCTGTGTACCACCACCAACCGCACCCCCTACCCCATGGATTTTTTTTTTAACCACATGAAAGGACATGTTTGCACACATTATCTTCATACATTCCTAGTATAAATAACATTAAACCAGATTGGGAAAGTCTTATATTTTCATTCCATTATTTCTATTCAGTACCTAGCTAGGAACCAGGCTACAGTAAGCTTCTTCAGTGAGCAAGCTCCTTGCAAAACTTCCTCCTCTCTTATGAGTGACAAGAGTAAATTGCAACCACTGTATTCAATTTCACTGAAACTTTTTCTCTTCTGACTCTTCTGTAAATGTGATGACTCATGACTCACTTCATACCGATTATACCTGTAGGGAACCCCAAATGTTCTGCAGTGGAACATCATGACCATCATTTACTGGACTGCCTGCATCATGCCTCTCTGAACTCACGATGTAGAAAGGAGCTGATGAGCTTAGCCAGAATGTGTCATGGCTTCTCTGACCTTCAGAACTTGGTGCTTCACCCACTCTGAAAACAGTCAGCCAAGGGAAACCTTTCCAAACCACATGAACAAAAGTATTCCTCTCGATTCAAGAATAGAATTGCATGTTCACAAAGCCAGGAAATTTTGCTAGTTTTTTCTTCTTTCTTTTCTTCTTTTTTTTTTTAATTAAACTTTTTATTTTCTATTGGCATATAGCCGATTAACTATGGTGTGATAGTTTCAGGCAGACCGTAAGGGAACTCAGTCATACATATATGCCAGTTGTTTTAAGACAAAGCAGATGCTCAAGAAGCAAAAACTGGGCCCGAACCTTTGCTGCCGGTTTGGGTGATTTCAACTGCCTCGTGTATATGGTTCTTCTAAGGCCTGGTTCTCTAACCATAGTTTACTGGTGATGGGATTCAGGGCACGCAGCCCCAAATATGCCACTTTGGCATATTGATTATTTTGAATTAAAGCTACTTAAGAAACAGCTGGTGCAAGAAAAACACTCTGAGC